AGGGTCCTGGGATCGAGCCCCGCATTGGGCTCCCTGCTCGGCGGGAAGCCTGCTTCTCCCTCTCCCACTCCCCCTGCTTGTGTTCCCTCTCTCTCTGTCTCTCTGTCAATTAAATAAATAAAATCTTTTAAAAAAAAATGAAAATAAACCTCCCTCCAACTGCCCCGTGAGTAAGAAGTGATCCAGAGGGGTTGACAGGGAAGGTGAAAGGGGTGTAGAGATCAGTTACCAATTTATTGCTTCTCAGTCCCAGTCACCCTCAATATCTGCTCTGTGATGACAGATGGGATTCCTTCAAGTGTTTCTCCTGACAGTGAGCATGATGTTATACTTTCTCAGTAGAGGGTGATATACTAAGTATTTAAAAGTCAAATATCAATCTTATAGGACTTTACATTAAGAGTTTTTCCTCTTGGGGCGCCTGGGTGGCTCAGTCGTTAAGTGTCTGCCTTCGCCCAGGTCATGATCCCAGGGTCCTGGGATCGAGCCCTGCATCGGGCTCCCTGCTCCACGGGAGGCCTGCTTCTTCCTCTCCCACTCCCCCTGCTTGTGTTCCTGCTCTCGCTATGTCTCTGTCAAATAAATAAATAAAATCTTAAAAAAAAAAAAAGTTTTTCCTCTTCTCTCCATTAGTGAGAATAACAGAGAACAGATAGTCTATTTTTAGTAGTACTGGACTATGAAAGAAAATCCAGGTAATGAGTGATCTCTTGCAGGCACAAGACTAATACCAAAGCCAAACAAACACACTGAGGATGGATTTGACATAATGCTTCAAATAATAAATCTAACAAGTCCTAGTAACATATTCCCATATGTGAATAAAAGAAGAGTATCTAACTATAGCAGCAGAAAATAACAGTAGGAGCAGCTACATCATTCTGGGAAAGAAGGGGAGCCGCATCAGATATACCATACTGAAGGTAGGGGTAAGATACATCTTCTCCCTCCTGTCTTGAGGACAATCGATCAAGGGGGAGAAAACTGGTTCTCAAAAGGTCTGTGGACTTTTCTTTCCAGATAGCTTTATCGATAAATAAATAGCTTTTAAACTGAGAAATCATACACTGGGGATAGAAACATAAATTGGTACAAATTTTAAGGGCAGTTAGAGGGGCGCCTGGGTGGCTCAGTTGGTTAAGCAACTGCCTGTGGCTCAGGTCTTGATCCTAGAGTCCTGGGACGGAGCCCCGCATCAGGCTCCCTGCTCAGCAGGGTGTCTGCTTCTCCCTCTCCCTCTGTCCCTTTCCTCCTTCTCCTACTCGTGCGCCAAGCATGCACATGCTCTTTCTCAAATAAATAAAATCTTTTAAAAAAGGGCAATTAGACAATATCTATCAAAAGACAAATGCTTTTACTTTTTTCTGGAAAGTACCTAAAGTCATTGGATGTTTTCTTATCTCCTACAATGGCCCAGCTACACCTACAATGGCCCAGCTATTCTAGTTCTAGGAATTTTTCTCACAGATAAGATTTGTAAATATGTATGTTATTCATTGCAGCATAGTCTGTAATAATCAAAGTTTGGAAACAACCTAAATCTCAATGGAAGGACTGAATGTACCATGATACACCTACTAAAAGGGTGAGAGGGAGGGATAGTGGGTAGCTGTGAGATGGTGATAATAGGAAGACATTTCACTCTGTACCCTGTTTGTACTTTATTAATGTTAGGCCATGGGAATGTATTGGTTTATAATAAAGGAAATGAAATTTTTAAATAAAACAGATATGCCAATACAAAGAAAAACAACTAATATAATGGATTTAAGAGTCAGAAAAATTACAGCTCCAATTTAACCACCAGCCTCCTTCCTCTGTAATCGTAACCTCTTTAAGACTCAGTTTCCTCAACCATAAAACAAAGCAAAAGAAAACAAAATCTGAGGAGCCTAATCTGTCTTCTACATCCTAGAAATCATGGCCATGAAGTAACTAACATACTTCCATCTTTCCTAAACAAGTCCAGCGTGACTATGATCTCACTTTTTTGATCCTAAAAGACAAAGCATAGAATACAAAAATTAAGATTTTGTTGTTGTTTCTTTGACATTAGTGTATAGCATGGGCAAAGTGAGATGAGGATGGTGGAAATAGTACAGTAGTACAGAATGCTGTTGATCGACTGGCTGTTTGTCAGGGTTAATCATCCTGTTATCAGGCCAAGTCACCACCAAACCCTTTCTCAGACCAAACTCCAGATGTGCTTCTTGCCCTCTTCAGTGTTTCCCCAGCCTCCTAAACTCTCAATTCCCCATGACTTACCCCCAAGTCTTTAGCAAACCCAGGCTAATATAGTAACCAAATGGCCAGAAAGGACCACTGTTGAATGAGAAAATGTGGGGAAAAGCACGAGTTATTCATTCTCTTACCAAGTGTCTACTGGTCAGGATGACCAAACCCTGATTTATATATTGTCTCAGCTTATTATTAGGAGCAACCCCCTTTCACTTTCAAAATGGTCCTGATTTGTATTATAAACTATAGTCCTTGCACTACTATTGGCTAAATAAATATATGTTTTCCTCTAGGCAGAACAGATCTGTTTCAATTTACTGCATCTTTTGATATATTCTCTCAAATACTTATCACCAAAACTTTTGCCCCTAACAGATTCTATTGCCCTTCAGACTTTGCCTTTTTTTCCCCTTTCTCCTTGAAAACATATTGCTGACCTTTTTCTTTCATCTTCCAAAAGAAATAAGCTTTTCATCTCTCAAGCTATATTTGTTTTTTCTCTGGGTAGTGAGTTTTCTCCTAGATTATACCAACTCCATTCTTGTATTTCCTTAACCTCCCTAGTGAAGACATGGTGTGGGGGAGGAGGGGAAGGATGCCCCCTTGTACAAGTTATTGGTTTAAAATTCACTAATTGTGGCATGTGTAGATTCTTTATTGGTTTATTGGTTTACTCCTTGTCCAACACTGAATAGTCACGTGGTTATTTAACTTAAGACTGAACAGACAGAATGAGATATAGGAGAAAAACTGGAGACCAGATTAGACCAGCCAACTTTATAGGCTAATTTGTGACTCTCTGTTCTACCTAAAATGCAATCAGTTTGCCAATGGCCTTCTTTTTTTTTTTTTTTAAAGAGCCAGAGGATACTTAAAGACTTTCTTTTTTTATGATCGTTAGTTTTCCTCTTTTTTTTTTTTTTAGGTTTTTTTAGTTATTTGACAGAGAGATAGAGAGTACAAGTAGGCAGAGCGGCAGGCAGAGGGAGAGAGAGAGGCAGGCTCTCCGCCGAGCAGGGGGCCCGACGTAAGGCTCAATCCCAGGACCCTGAGATCATGACCCGAGCCAAAGGCAGACGCTTAACGACTGAGCCACTCAGGCGCCCCTGCCAATGGCCTTCTATTATTTATAACTAATGTCTACAAAGAGCAGCATCACTCCAGGGTGAAAAGAACACAAAGATGGAAAAACTTAGGTTTTAGTTTCAATTCTATCACTAATTATTTGTTTTATTATAGGGAAGCTTTCACTTCTTAGTTTCTGAGGACTTCAATTTCTTCATGTATATAATGAAGAGATGATAAAGTAGATAATCTCAAAAAATGACTTACTTACAAAATTCTAAAATTGTTAAAATTCTAATTCTACAATTGTTAAAAATTAGATTAGTTAGTGCTTGTTAACTATAAGCTTTAAAACTTGGGAATAGTACACATGCACACACAAACATTTTATGTACCATAGGTGATCTGTGGATAGATTAGCAATAAGCTGGGTAATATAGACAATGTGATCAGATCTGAGTGAAGTACTACATTCTGAATGTGTGTTATTAGAGAGCCCCCATGAAAAGATCTTGCCTTCAACAGGTCTACTATCACATGTGAATGTGATCCTTGAACTGTTTGATGGCATTTTGAAATTTGACCTGCCACCACTACACTGTTTTGTTGTCATTTTGTTGTCATTTTACCCTGCCCCATTGGCCTGCTTATTACTCAAGGGGAGCCAAGTCCAAAATACCATCATGAGTCAGAAGGGTCATGATCAACATGAGCTACATCTAAACACTTTTGCAAAAAGAAAGCATTCTCTGGAATTTTGAGGACTCAAAAGCTATGCTTCATATAGCCAAGAAATCGCTGAGGAGTACTGGGATCCCTGGCCTGAAATTGTCCAGCATTCATGTTTATTCATATTTTGCTACTCTTCAATTACAGCAGAGAGCAAACATACTAACACTATTAAGAAGTAACCACAAATATCTTCTATATAGTGGAAATGTATAGACTTGTGGCTGTAACTACCTCTTGTTCCCTAGTACTTGCCTGGGTTTGAGTGCAGGCCTACATTTACAGAGTAGACAGAACACTTACCATAATAATGGAAAGAACCAAAAAAGGATTGAAAAAAAGAATTGGAGAATTTACAAATAAGTAAGGACAGCTGCCTATAGGACTTTACATTCCTAACACTCAAGGAAGCTTCTCTTTATGATGATCCCTAAATCCACTTGTCCAGAACAGGAAGAGTAACTAGAATATATATTAATAATTTATGTAGTCAAAAATAGCTCATTAATGATGTAAACTAAGCATACAAATAAAGAGTATAGGGTTTAAAAATAATAAAGTGAGTCTTTAAAAAAAACCTAAAAAATATCAGTAAAGATAAAGTTAAGTGATAAGAATCTACCCACTTAGGATATTTTTGTCCTATAGCAGCATCATAGCTAGGGTACTAACTTATAGAAAGGGAGATCTGGGGGACAATTCCGAAGGCTATTAAAAATGTGACAGCCTGACATATTTTTGGACCTTTGTAAATACAGACGAGATTATAATCCAGCTCGGGCTAATATCCTATTATCTCTGTTCCACTATATCTCAAGCTGTAACAACATCACAGAAAACAAGCTTATAAGAAGAAGAAAAAATGAAATTTTATGGAGTGCAGTTATTTTTCCCAAAGAGAACAACTGGGAGATGGGAGGAAACCCTCCCCTAACTAGCCTTTACAAGTAAACTGAGGAAAGAATATAGAAAGTACGTGTATGTTTGATAAATACAATTGAATGCTAAAAACAAGAGTAAAACAACAGTATAAATAGGCATTTACTTACAAGGAGTTCCTCTGCTGGCTTCTTCCATAGTTACCCTGACATAGGGCTTACTAAAGTCAACTTCAATTTCATCAGAAAAAGGAGCTGGCTGCTGTAAGCCCTTAAGAAGAGGAAAGTGAAGGAAAAGAAAGTTAAATTCAATGGTATAGACTGAAATACTCAAAAAATGGCAACTTTAAAGAACAGTTATTCAATATACTGGTGATTAAATTCCTCCTAAAGCCATAACAAAAGAAGAAAAGGCATTTCAAAATGACAAGTGAAAGTTGCAACCTTTTACCAAATGAGTAAGTCAGTAAATCATGATAGGAAAGATAAATGTCTTACTGGTGATTTCAGGGTAATATTGAGCGAGGTGGCTGGGAAACTAAGCACAGTCCCAACTAACTGGGTCCAGAATAATGGTTCCTCCACTACCTGGCACAACACCCAACCCTGTTCTATGTGATGAAATTGCCAAGGTTTTTGTTTTTTTTTTTTAAGATTTTATTTATTTATTTGACAGAGAGACACAGCGAGAGAGGGAACACAAGCAGGGGGAGTGGGAGAGGGAGAAGCAGGCTTCAAGGCAAGCAGGGAGCCCTATGTGGGGCTGGATCCCAGGACCCTGGGATCACCACCCAAGCCAAAGGCAGATGCCCAAGGACTGAGCTACCCAGGAGCCCTGAAAATTGCCAAGGTTCTTAAGTACATTTTCATACCACTTCAACTAGGGGACTGGGAAGGGAAATAGCTTCTGTATGCTTTATTAAGTATGATTATCACTGTATAATGCTTTACACTATAAATATATTCTAGTGCTCATAACAGCCCTGTGAGGCAAGAAGCACAATAATTCTCAATTTAAAGATGAGGAAAACAAGGTTCAAAGAAATTATATGAATTATATGCAATTACTCAGAGGCAAAGCTGAAATAAGAATGCAGGAATGCTCTTTCCTCTACAGAGGAAAGCCTTACTTCAGAGTTTTTGTTAAATTTATTCTTGGGGCACCTGGGTGGCTCAGTCAGGTAAGCATCTGCCTTCAGCTCAGGTCATGATCCCAGGGTCCTGGGATCAAGCCCCCTATCGGGCTTCCTGATCAGTGGGGAACCTGTTTCTCCTGCTCCCTCTGGTGTCCTCCCCCTGCTTGTGCTCTCTCTCTCAAATAAATAAATAAAATTAAAAAAAAATATTCTTGGGGTGCCTGGGTGGCTCAGATGGTTAAGCATCTGCCTTCAGCTCAGGTCATGATCCCAGAGTCCTGGAATCAAGCCCCGCATCGGGCTCCCTCTTCAGCGGGAAGCCTGCTTCTCCCTCTCCCACTCCTCCTGCTTGTGTTCCCTCTCTCGCTGTGTCTCTGTCAAATAAATAAAATCCTCTAAAAAAAATTTATTCTTAAGTATTTTATTCTATTTGATTCTATTGTGAAGGGAATTGTTTTTCTTACCTTTATTTTTGGATTGTTCCTTGCTTTGGATTGTTCCTTGTTCCTTTGCATTTCTATATAGAAATGCAAATTGATTTATATGTGCACATGTTGTGTCTGTGTGTATAATTTCAGATGATTTTTGTATTTTGATCTTGGTCTTGTGACTTTGCTAAACTCAATTATTAGTTCTAGCACTTTGTTTGGTAGATTCCTTAGGATTTTCTACATATGAGATCATGTCATCTGTGACTAAAGATGTTTTACTTCTTTCCAATCTGGATGCCTTTAATTTCCTTTTTATTATCCCTTTATTGCTTTAGTTGGAATCTCTAGCACAATGTTGAACAGAAGTAACAAGAACAAATATCCTTGCCTTTTTCCCAATCTTAGGGGTGAAGCATGCAATCTTTCACCATTAAATATTACGTTAACTAGGTTTTTTGTGGATGCCGTTTATCAACTGAGGAATTGCCCTCGTTTTTGCAATTTGTTGAGAGTTTTTATAATAAAAAGGTGTTGGATTTTGTCACATGCTTTTTCTGCATTACCAAAACAATCATATTCTGATTTTGTCTTTCGTTACTTCTGGTGTATTAGATCGAGTTTTAGGATGTAAAACCAACCTTGCATTCCAGAGTAAAATCCCCCTTGGTCATGCTATATAAATCTTTTTATATGTTCCTGGATTTGTTAATATCTTGTTAAGGATTTTTACATCCAAGTTTGTGAGAAATTTTGAACTATAGTTTCCTTTTCTTGTGGTTTTTTTTTTTTTTTTTTGGCCTGGCTTTGAGGTTTGGTTTCATAAAATGGGACAGAAAGTATTCTCTGAAATAGCAGAGAAACTGTTCAGAATAGGGAACTATTTCTTCCCTAAAGTTTGAAAGAATTCACCAATGAAGCATCTTGTCTTTGTGGGAAGATTTTTATTTATTTTTTAAAGATTTTATTTATTTATTTGAGAGAGCGAGAATGAGAGAGAGAGAGAGCACATGAGAGGGGGGAGGGTCAGACGGAGAAGCAGACTTCCTGCTGAGCAGGAAGCCCGACGTGGGACTCGATCCCAGGACTCCAGGATCATGACCTGAGCCGAAGGCAGTCGCTTAACCAACTGAGCCACCCAGGCGCCCCTTTGTGGGAAGATTTTTAAAAATAAATGTGATTTTTTTTTTTTTTAACTTGGGATAAGTCCATTCAGATTTTCTATTTCATTTTGGGTCAGTTTTGGTAATTTGTCTTTTTCTAGGAATTTCTATTTTATATAAATTGTCAAATTTTTTGGCATTCAGTTGTTCATAACATTCCCTTATAATTCTTTTAATTTCTGTTGGGCTGTAGTAATGTTTGCTTAGAATTTTAAATTCTAAATAGATCACATTATGATTGGGCTGAATCCAGGAAATGGGAAGACATTGTTTTGTTTTCTTTTCAGATAAGGATGGATTTTTTAAGATTAGGTTTTAGATTTATATATTTATTTGAGAGAGAGAGAGAAAGAGAGCATGAGTAGGAGGAGAGGCAGAGGGGGAGAATCCTCAAGCAGACTCCCACCCTGGATGCAGAGCCTGACTCAGGGTTCACCATGAGATCATAACCCAAGCAGAAACTAAGAGGTGGACGCTCAACTGACTGAGCCACCCAGGCATCCTTTAAGATTAGGTTTTAAAATTAAAACATATTTCTTTTTGGGCACCTGGGTGGCTCAGTTGGTTGGGCATCTGACTCTTGATTTCAGCTCAGGTCATGATCTCAGGATTGTGAGTGGAGAGCCTGCTTAAGATTATCTCTCTCCCTCTTCCTCTGCCCCTCCCCACTGTATGTTCGCTCTCTCTCTCTCTAAAAATAAATAAATCTTTAAAAAAAAACATTTCTTTTTAAAAATCACTAATATAATAAGCTTAGTTTAAGATATGCTAAAGCTATAAAGATAAAACATTCCTTTTTAGGAGATATGGGTACATATGTGTGCTATCCTTTTTAAGAACATTTTTTTTAAAAGATCAGAGAGAGACACAGTGAGAGAGGGAATACAAGCAGAGGGAGTGGGAAAGGAAGAAGCAGGCTTCCCGCTGAGCAGGGAGCCCGATGCGAGGCTCAGTCCCAAGAACCTGGGATCAATACGTGAGCCAAAGGCAAATGCTTAACGACTGAGCCACCCAGGCGCCCCAATTTAAGAACACTTTTTAAAGGAGATTAGACCAATGACCCAAATATACAATTTTCTGTAGTTAATAGAGATTTCTCTACAGATTAGACAATTTATCCTCTAGAAGTCAGTACTCAAAGAGTTCCTTAACAGTAGTTTGTGTTTCTAAAAACATATGCTATTCACAAAATAACACATAATTTATGATTCTATCTATATAAAGGTCAAAAACAGGCAAAGCTAAATGACATATCAGATAAAGGGCTAGTATCCAAAATCTATAAAGAACTTATCAAACGCAACACCCAAAGAACAAATAATCCAATCAGGAAATGGGCAGAAGACATGAACAGACATTTTTCCAAAGAAGACATCCAAATGGCCAACAGGCACATGAAAAAGTGCTCAACATCACTCGGCATCAGGGAAATCCAAATGAAAACCTCAATGAGATACCACCTCACACCAGTCAGAATGGCTAAAATTAACAAGTCAGAAAATGACAGATGTTGGCGGGGATGCGGAGAAAGGGGAACCCTCCTACACTGTTGGTGGGAATGCAAGTTGGTGCAACCACTCTGGAAAACAGTATGGAGGTTCCTCAAACAGTTGAAAATAGAGCTACCATACGATCCAGCAATTGCACTACTGGGTATTTACCACAAAGATACAAATGTAGGGATCCGAAGGGGTACGTGCACCCCGATGTTTATAGCAGCAACGTCCACAACAGCCAAACTGTGGAAAGAGCCAAGATGTCCATCGACAGATGAATGGATAAAGAAGATGTGGTATATATACACAATGGAATATTATGCAGCCATCAAAAGGAATGAGATCTTGCCATTTGCAATGACATGGATGGAACTGGAGGGTGTTATGCTGAGTGAAATAAGTCAATCAGAGAAAGACATGTATCATATGACCTCACTGATATGAGGAATTCTTAATCTCAGGAAACAAACTGAGGGTTGCTGGAGTGGTGGGGGGTGGGAGGGATGGGGTGGCTGGGTGATAGGCATTGGGGAGGGTATGTGCTATGGTGAGCGCTGTGAATTGTGCAAGACTGTTGAATCACAGATCTGTACTTCTGAAACAAATAATGCAACATATGTTAAGAAAAAAGAAAAAGAACAAGATAGCAGGAGGGGAAGAATGAAGGGGAGTAAGTCAGAGGGGGAGACGAACCATGAGAGACAATGGGCTCTGAAAAACAAACTGAGGGTTCTAGAGGGGAGGGGGGTGGGGGGATGGGTTAGCCTGGTGATGGGTATTAAAGAGGGCACATTCTGCGTGGAGCACTGGGTGTTATGCACAAACAATGAATCATGGAACACTACATCAAAAACTAATGATGTAATGTATGGTGATTAACATAACAATAAAAAAAAACAGGCAAAGCTAATCTATGATGACTAGAAGCCACAGGAAAATGAGGAAATCTGGGTAAAGTGGACACTGACAAGCACAGACGTGAGAGTCTTCTGGGAATACTGGTGATTACATGGATATATATACATATGTAAAAATTTATTGAGCTGTACACTCAAGGTCTGTGCACTCTATTGTATTAAGTTATACCTCAAGAAACAAATGACATTTGGGCATAAAAAGGAATGTAGTACTGATACATGCCACAACAGGGATCCTGAAATCTTGAAAATATTATACTAAGTGAAAGAAGCTGGCCACAAAAGACCACTTATTGTATGATTCCATTTATATATAATATCCAGAACAGGAAAATATATACACAAAGTAAATTAGTGGTTATACAGGGCTTGGAGGATTAGGGAAAAATGGAGAGTAACTGCTAATGGATACAGGGCTTCTCCCTGGGGTGATGAAAATGTTCTAAAACAGATTATGATGATGGTTGCACACTCTGCACACTTTATTGCACACTTTAAATGGGTATGTGAATTATAATGGTATATGAATTATAGCAATAAAGTTTATATATATTTATATATAAAAACAGGCAAAAATCTGTAAAACAAATAGAAAAAATGTATTTATTAACAATAGTACATGTAGATCAAAGACGGGTTTTAATGTGTCTCTGAAAGTTATAACCAATGGTGTACTGGAGTTGGTTGTTAAATATTCAGGAATTTTGTGGGCCAGTTATTAAATCATTGGTAGTCTGATCTCAGCCACAGAAATCAGCAAATGCTACATATCAGAGGTTTTTTTCCTCTGCAGTGAGCCAGTTTACTAGGACACCATTGGTTATTTTGCATACTCAGAAAGAGACCAGTTCAGAGGTTATTATAGGGAGAAGAAAATGGACTTACAGATTTTTCCATTAATGTTGCAGTGGGAGTAGAAAGCGTGGTAGATTTTGTGAAGGAAGAATGGGTAGCACACGGTAAAAAGAAAAAATATTGGGGCACCTGGGTGGCTCGGCCATTAAGCATCTGCCTTTGGCTCAGGTCATGATCCCAGGGTCCTGGGATCGAGCCCCGCATCGGGCTCCCCACTTGGCAGGAAGCCTGCTTCTCCCTCTCCCACTCCCCCTGCTTGTGTTCCCCCTCTCGCTATCTCTCTGTCAAATAAATAAATAAAATCTATAAAAAAAAAAAGAAAGAAAAAATATTGTCACTTGAGGAAAAAGAGGCATTTACAATGAATTTTTGAACTGAAGATAAGATTGTAGTACCAGTAGTACAGTAGCAGGAATGGGGAAGTTTTAAAAAAAGGAGTTGAGATCAAAGAAAATGAGAACTGAGAGAAGTCTTTGAATTTGGAGATTTAAATGACTATTAGAGACCTTCTAGAATATATTAATAAAAGTCAAAGAAAATTGCCTTTAAGAAGAAAAGGAAACAGATTAGTAATAATCTCTCATTAGATATGTGTATCTGTAAAAGGAATGAGAAAAACTGAAAGGTACCTAGAGGAGACAGAAATATCAAGTGGCTTTTTTTTTTTTTTTTAAGTTAAGGAGATCTGTACATGTCCAAGACAGAGGAAAAGGAGCCAAAGAGACGGAAAATACCGGAGAAGGAAAAAAACAGATAACTGAGGAAGGAAGAGTCTAGAGAAATGGTAGGGAATGGCTTCAAAGGAAAGCAGGGGGGGGGGAAGTATTAGCTTCAGAAATAGGAAGGATCACCCTTTTCTAAAAGAAGAAGGGAAGGTGATAAAAGGACAATGTTAGATGTAAAGGAGGAAAGACACACAAATTTATATCTGATGTCCTCAATTTTATCAGTATAGTAATAAGGACATGAAATGTCATATGAAAAACAGTGAGGTTGGAATGAGACTGAAAGCTTGAGGAAAGTAGAAAATATGTGGAACAGCTGTTGTGGGAAATGTACCAGAGCATCAGCAAATGACTAATGGAACTGCTGAGCACTGTATTAAGCCCAGATCCAGCTAGAAACATTAATCTAGAGAAGGCCAAGTTAACAGGTCTAGGAAGAGAAACTGTGAAAGATCTAGGGTTAGGCCATGGAAAATGGAAGGGAAGCAAAGGGATCTAGACATTTCTCCAAAGAATATATACTAATGGCCAAAAAGCACATGGAAAGATGCTCAACAACATTAGTCATCATGGAAATGCAAATGAAAATCACAAAATACAACTTCACACCCACTAGAATGGCTATGAGGAAAAACACTGGCAAAAATGGTGATGGCAAGAATGTGGAGAAACTGGAACCTTCATACACTGCTGCTATGAATGTCAACATGTGCCCAACTTTGGAAAATAGTTCTTCAAAATGTTAAACACAGAATACCATATGATCCAAAAATTACACTCCTGGGTATATAACCAAGAGAATGAAAACAAAGATTTTATTTTTTTATTATTTTTGTAAGTAGGCTCTACGCCCAACATGGGGCTTGAACTCATGACCTCAAGGTCAAGAATCACATGGTCCACTGACTGGGCCAGCCAGGCACCCCTGAAAACATATATATATTTTTAAAAACCTATACATGAATAATGTTCATAACAGCATTATTCACTATAGCCAAAAAGTGATAAATGGATAAACAAAATGGTATGTCTACATGTACTACTATTCACCTGTAAAAATGAATGCAGTATTAATATATGTTACTACCTGGATGGACCTTGAAAACAATGTTAAATATAAGAAGCCAGATACAGAAGGCCACATACTATATGATTCCATTTATAGGAAATGTCCAAAATAGACAAATACCTAGAGATAGAAAGTAGATTAGTGGTTGCCAGGGGATAGGTTAGGGGGATGGGGGGTGACTGCTAACAGATATGGGGCTTCTTTTTGTGGTGATGAAAATGTTCTGGAATTAGACAGTGGTGATGGCTGCATTAACATTGTGAATACACTAAAAAAAAACCACTGAATTGTACACTTTTTAATGGTTTAAACAGTGAATTTTATGTTACATGAATTTTATCTCAATTTAAAAAGATACATTAAAGTATCCTATCTTTCAGGGCACCTGGGTGGCTCAGTCAGTTAAGCATCCAACTCTAGATTTTGGCTCAGGTCATGATCTCAGGGTCCTGGGATCGAGCCCCGTGTCAGGCTCCGCGGCCAGCACAGAGTTCTGCTTGGGATTCTCTCTCCCCCTCTCCCCCTGCCCCTCCCCCACTCACATGCACCCACACTCCTTCTCTCTCTCTCTAAAATAAATAAAATATTTTTTAAAAAGTGTTCTATCTTTTACAGCTGTTTCTTCAATCTTCCTTTTATACTGTGTATGTTCCAGAAGGCAAATGAAGGCAGAAGGCAAATGCAGATATCTCTCCTGGCTAGGGTTTCAATTCCTCCTAAGTATAGAAAATGAAACCTAAGGTTCTTCAACTACAACAGATCAGCAAAATCTTTCTCATTCTAGAATTGCCTCCAGTTAGAATGAATAGTATTTCTAAAAATATCTTTCTAAAAACAGTGTCTCTAGAAGCTAAGCCTTAAAAAAGTAGGACTAAGTATTTCTACCTTTATTCTTCTAAAACATACCTCCTTCATTTTAATCTCAAGGGAATCCTGCAGAATATTATCTTCAAGTGGTTTGGCTATCTGATTGTGAAGCATAAATGAAAGGGCATGGATTTAGAACTTGAAAAAACTTAAATCTAAATACCAACTCTAGGGACGCCTAGGTGGCTCAGTCGGTTAAGCATCTGCCTTCGGCTCAGGTCATGATCCCAGGGTCCTGGGATCGAGTCCCACATTGGGCTCCTTGCTCAGTGGGGAGCCTGCTTCTCCCTCTGCCTGCCACTCCCCCTGCTTGTGTGCTCTCTCTCTCTCTCTGACATAATAAATAAATAAAATCTTTAAAATAAATAAATAAATCCCAACTCTATCACTTAATAGCTGTGAAATCACGGCTTTCCTCTTCTATTAAATGGAATATAATACATGCCCCACAAGACGGCTACAAGGATTAAATAAAAGAGCATATGCAAAGTAACTAGCACAATGTTTCACATATAGTGGCACTCAACAAATTTAGGTCATCATCAACAACATAAGCTCATGTTGTTTATGGCACACAGGTTTCATTATGCCAACAAAATTAACTAAACTGTATTAATCTAAGAGATTAGATTCTAGATGCTATATCAAGTTTCTAATTCTATACAAAT